GCGGCTGGGGGCGTGGGAGGTAAGTGCGCGCGCGCCTGCTCCTTTGCAGCCAGAGTCGCGCGGGGCGGGGCCGCGTGAGCGGGGTCGGGGGCGCGCGGGCCGGAGCGGACCGGGGGCGCGGCGGCAGTTTGCCGTGGCTGCTGCGAGTCCGGCCAGGACTGTGAGAGGCGGCTGCGGAGGTACCCGCGGCACCGGCGGAGGCGGCGGGAGCGGCGGAGGCAGCGGTCCAACGCGTGCTCTTTGGGCGGGGTGCGGCGGGGGATGTTCCTGCCCAGGGCGGGCGGAGTCTCTCTGACAGGGCGGGGGATGCGCGGCGGCCGCTCTCCGGGACCCTGAGGCCGCTGGGCCCACCCTCCCGGAGCCATCGAGGACCATCAGCCCTCGTGCCCTCGGCCTGTGCCGTCTCCTCCGGCCAGACCCTGGGGCCGAGGGTGGGAGGCGGCTTCCGCCGGAGAGGAGCGGGCTGTGGTGGCCACCGCGGCGGAGCCTGAGGTAGGACCCGCCCAAGCCGCCCAGCGGCCCAGCCGCCCGGCCCGGCCCACGTCTCTGGCTCGCTCTTTAGCTCCTGCGGGGCCGCCCCGCCCCGTCCCGGCGGAGGCGCCCCGCGAGCGGGTCAGCCTCGGATCCTCCCAGACCCCGGATCACTGGCCCAGGGCCCCTGTAGACCCCACCCATCATATCTTCCATTGGCCAGACAGCATGCCGGCCTTCCAGCCTCCCTCACGGTGCTGTCACCGAACCCCCGTCCCGCCGCGCACCCCGTTAGGAGCTCCCTTGGACTCTCGTCGGACTCTTGATAGGGCCTCGAGACTCCGTTGCATCCTTCCGTGAGCGGACCCGGTCCCGCGTCCGGGATACCCAGGCACGGCCGTCCCCCAACCCGCTGCGACCCCCAGCGCCCTGGCGGATCCGTCGCTGCCCACCCCTCTTCCCAGCAGAACCGCACCCCAGCCCGGCTCGCCCAGCGCCCCGCCGACCAGCTCCTCCCCGGCCCAACTCAGCTTTAGGACGGTGTGTGGCGGGGTGCCCCCCGCTTCCCGCTGTTAGCCCTCCTCACACCCCAGCAGGCAGCGACCGCTCCCCCGCGCCCCCGGGCCCCTCCTGCAGCCTCTCCCCGGGCCTTGCATCCTCAGGCAGCCCTTTTTATCTTTTTGTCCGGTCGTGGTCTTTGCTTTGGTTAAAAGGGCTTTGCCCTGAAATCCTGAGGGGATGTTTGCTTAGCCGAGTGTATTCCCCCCATCGGGGCTTAAGGGGACCAGCTGACACCCATGTTTGGGGGGTTTACCCTGGTGGCTAGGGAGGGGGGGAGAGGGCGGAGTATGGGAGCCCCAGTCAGCGTGCGGGTGCTCTTACGGGATCACACAGCCTGCCCCTCGTCCTGTCTCTTCTGTGGAGCGTGTGACGTGGTCAGAGCTAACATTTTAGGCACCTCTCGAAGGATTAACTCATTTTTCACTGATGGATATAACTGCCTCCGTGTAGTGTCATTTCCTTCATCTTCTTGTAGATTTTTACAGATGTTTTGTACTGTTTTTGAAGGATGCCAGTGGACTTGTTTTTGGATTTGTTATTTTTGAGTTTGCTGCAAAAGTGAGATTTGTAGCTTTTCATAATCCCTGAAGATTTAGTGTCAGTGTAGTGATAACTTATTGTTAGCTGGTGCTGCACTGTATTGCTTTGTCAAGGAGCAAGTTCGCTTAACGCAATGTTCACTGATGTCATTATGAACAACCTTCTCAGCAGCAGTAAAATACTGAATGAAAAGCTGTTTGTTGAAATTGAACTCCTGAGCTGTCAAGAAGGAAATGTAATGTTAGACCCAATAATATTTTTGAAATTTTTATTTTGTGTGTGTGGAACTGAGGAAGGGAAAAGTCATATTAAAATTATAGGTAATACCTAGACATAAAAGTCAAAAGGTTCAAAAGAGTATGCAGTAAAAAGTTTCTCTTCTCCCTTTGTCCTCCAGCCACCCATTTTTCCTTTTTAGAGACAACCACTATTTCCATACTTGTGTGTGCCTTTCCTGTGGTATTTGTAGTGTATACATGCCTATATATTTATATTTTTAAAACATACCACAGACAAGAGCTTACATATTGTACACTCTGTATATAGCTTTTATTCCTCCCACTTACAATAGATCCTAGAGATCGTATATTTGGAAGTGCCTAATACACTGGCTGGATAGTATCCCATGTTACTGGTTTTGAGATTATTTTCTGTCTTTGCTTTTACAAACAGTGCTACCTTCTTTTCTTTAAATGTATCAGCTGTTATACATGTATGTTTTAAGTAATTTCGGATTAGAAAAAATTTTCTAGTGAACCTACAAAAGAGGGTATAACTAAATTTCTCATTGAACCTGTGAGCTTCCATGGAATGACTAGCTTTGATAGTGATTATAATATTTACTAAATAAGTTCCTGAAGGACGTCAAGTAAGGGACTGCAATGATCAAATTTGTGTTTTTAAATGTCACTCAATGAGGAGCGTGGATTAAAGGGTGGACTAAGGATAAAGGCAAGAATATCAAGAGAGCAATAATATAGGCAAACTATTACAGCGGGTCTGGATTTGAGTACAGGGAGTAGATAGTACTTGGTGATGTCATTGGATTTGGCATTAGGGAGTGGCTTCATCAAGGATAAGGTAACAGGTTTCTACTTTATGCCCTTTCACTGAGGTGTGGATCCAGATGAGGGAGGAGTGGGATTTTTATTTTTATTTTTGTCAAGAAAGGAATTCAATTTGTAACATGTTGAGTTTGGGTGGTTGTATTTCTGTCAGATGGAGATAGCCAGTAGGCAGCTGGATTTGTGGCTTAAGCTCATTATCAAGTTCTGAGTTGGTAGTAAGAGATTTTGGGGGCAAAGGGCATAGATGAAAGGAGAAAAAATTGTAGGACAAAAATCCAACATTTGCAGTACAGGTGAATGTTTCAGCTAGTACATTATGTGATTAAGTTCTTTAAAAAGTCTTGTTATATAGTTTAAACATCAATAATGAGGATCACTGTCTAACATGACTTTTTAAAGTTTTTCCCTTAGTTAACATTGTAGTGTATATTTCATGAGGGAAATAGAGTAAATTTAGGTTTTTTTAAAAAGTAAAAACTCAGTAGAAATAGTAATATAAAACCCATCTTTCCTCATCATTTGGATTATACTATTGTAGAATTTTGTTCAGTCTTTAGTGTTTGCAGAGAAGTACAGGCAGTTTGGAAATGTGGTTTGCCAAGAATATTAAAATTTTTAGTCTGCATAATTTTTAGTTATATGAGTTTAAAATAAACACTAATCAAAGAATTTTTGGTCATGTTTTTAAACCATAACATTGACTTATTTATTCCTAAGTCTAGAGCTACTGTATGTATCTCTTGACTATTCTAAACCCCTGCAAATCACTCTAGTGGACATCTCTGTTTGGATTCACATTTCACAAGCATTTCAAACATGTTCAAAATGAAACTCTTTTCTGTCTCCCTCTTCCCTCCAAAAAGGTGGGGTAGAGGGAAACAAACCTGCAACAAACTTTTTTCTTTGGATTTCCTGTCTTGTTAAATGACATCACTCTTTCCTCATGAAGCCTTCAGAAGCCTGAAAATCACTTTTCACTCCACTCTGTCTTGTTACCAACATCACTAACTCCTGCATATTCTCCTTCATGATATTTCAGATAATTTCTTCTTAATATTTTTGTTGTCTCTATATTAACCCCAGATGTGTGTTGGGCTTTGTAATGCTTTCTGAGTAGTCCTCTTGCCTTCTCTCTCTGCCTCTTGGTTTGCCATACCCTCCAGTTCATTCTCTGTATTGCTGCCAGAGTAAATGTTCTAAGACGCTCTTTTAGTTAGGCTCTTTCAATTGCAAGGAAGAAACTCAAGTTATTCTAAGTAGGGGAATGCTTATTGAAAGGGAACATGCACAAGGGAACCCAGGGAGAGTTAAACAACTTGGTCTCAAGAACAGGAGCTTAATAAAATTTGTTTAAGCTACTGTATTTCCTTTTGGCTTATTTTTTCGTCTGTATTCCAATCACTGCCCATTCCCTACCAGTCCCCCCCACCCCCCCCAGCCCAGCTTCTGGCTTCCGTTTATTCCTAATTTCTGCCTGTTTATAACTACTGAGTCACTCCCATCCAGCATCTTGCCTCCTGGCTGCAATCAAAAAACTTGAGCTCTTGTTGCTAATTTCTTCCTTTTTTCCCTAGGATTTGCTGGTTTGAATTCCCAAGAAACAATCTCTTTGGCTCAGCTCTTTTTTTCATGGGCTGCTATCAAGCCTGTGTACTTGGGTCATGTGACCACCATGGACATTTAGTTCTAGCTGTGTGTGTATTTGTGCATGTGGGTGTGGGACAGGGTCGTCACGGTGGAAAACATCAGACAGTGTGCAGGCTAATTTCTCAGATAGTGGGGTTGCAAGCACAGCAGGCACCATAATTGACATTTATAGTACAAATACAAAACTTATGTCCCTTCTGTTGAAAGATCTTCAGTGCTTTCTCATTGTTTTCAGGATAATGCTTACCCTGTAGTGTGGCATGTGTATGAGATCCTTCAGGATCTGACTCTTCTCTAGGCTTTCTTCCCTTGCTCTCTTCCTTAAAGTCTTTGATCTGCTCCTATTGGACTTGGGCTTTCTCTCAAATAAAGTGCTTTTTTTTTTGACTTTGCAGTCTGTTCCCTTTCTCTTCATCCCCTTCTCCTTTTCTTTGCTTGATTAACTCCTATCTGACCTTCAGGACTCAGTTTAGGTGCATCTTAAGGAAGTTTTCCTTTTCCTCTTCCAGGTTAAGTCAGGTGCCGCTCCTGTGTTCTCCTGTGATGCATGGTGCTGGCTGCTGTCATAGTTCTCTGATGAGACTCATAATTACTTGTCTCTTTTCTTCACTGGGCTTTGACTTCTTTGGCATCAGTGCTGTATAGTAGGACAGGTTTTTAGATTGAGGATTTGAAAAATATATGGAAGCTTTTTATAAGTTATAAAGTATACAAAAAGTACACAAATCATAAATGCATAGTTCAGTGAATGAATTTTCACCAAGCAAACACCGGTGTCACCAACACTCATATCAAGCTATAAAATACCACTACAACTCCATAAGCCACCTTGTGCCCTCTTGTAGGCACTAATCCAGTTGAAGAAGTATTTAATTTTAAGTGGAAAAACTCTTTAACATATAGATTTCTCTACGTATTTTTATCTTTAAACATGTAAGACACATAGGTATTGGAGTTCTGATCCTATAGAAAGAACAAACATAGGTTAACATGTGTGAGGTGGGATTAGTAAACATGTAAAGCACTTTCCAAATGGTGTTTGGCCTTTGGGTTTCAATGTGAATTATGTTGCTAGCATATTTTGGCAGTGGGGTCATCCAGCAGGTAACTGGAGTGTAATTTTACATGTACAGTGGGGAAAGGATTAGTTGTCAATGTCATAGACAGCTGGCTTGCTAAGAATTTTTTCAAATAGCTGTAATTTTA